CCAGGATGGTCTCGATCTCTTGACCTTGTGATCCACCCGCCTCGGCCTCCCAAAGTGCTGGGATTACAGGCTTGAGCCACCGCGCCCGGCCTGTATTTTTTTTTTAGTAGAGATTTTTTAGTAGAGATAGGGTTTTGCCATGTTGGCCAGGCCAGTCTTGAACTCCTGACCTCAGGTAATCCACCTACCTCGGCCTTCCAAAGTGCTGGGATTACAGGCGTGAGCCACTGTGCCCAGCCTGATTTCTGCATTTTTAACAAGTTTCCAAGTGATTTTGCTTGCCCATGAACCACACTTTGAGTTTAGCAAGACAAGCTTTTTTTTTTTTTTTTTCCCAGACAGAGTCTTGCTCTGTTGCCAGGCTGGAGTACAGTGGCTCACTGCAACCTCCGTCTCCTGGGTTCAAGTGGTTCTTCCACCTCCACCTCCCGAGCAGCTGGGATCACAGGCGCATGCCACCACACCTGGCTAATATTTGTATTTTTAGTAGAGATGGGGTTCCACCATGGCCAGGATGGTCTCAATCTCTTGACCTTGTGATCTGCCCGCCTCAGCCTCCCAAAGTGCCTGGATTACAGGCGTGAGCCACCATGCCCGGCTGGCAAGCTTTTTTATATACATGCTAGGACAAGTTCCTCCTTGAGGAAATTGGAAATTGGAGGAGAATATATACCAGCTTTCTTATTCGTAAAACATGACGATAGAGCAGAAACAAGTAATTTGTTGCCTTCAGTAACCAGACTGGGAAACGAAATGTCCCATATCTGCAGGATCATGGGTTTTAAAATTGAGGAGGCTGATTCTAAGGGCAAAATAAAGGCAGAGAGAAGTAAGTGTATGTGGGAGGACAAGGGGGTGGTGACCATATGGAGAAAGAGAATATGAATCAGTGATATAAAGGAAAAAGTTCCATAAAAAGAATTATTGCAAACATAAGGCACATCATTTAGCAAGTAAAGACAATTGGAGGGAAAGAGAATAAGACTTAGGGAAGGGAAAATTTGTCAGAACAGGGCCTCACAACCCAAAATTACTCTACCAGGTGAAAGATGTACCTTAAGCAAAAGGGATAGATACCTGGGCTCTATGGAAAGACTTTTCAGTAGAGTGTTAACTTTTTTTTTTTTGAGATGGAGTTTCACTCTTGTTGCGCAGGCTGGAGTGTAATGGCACCATCTCGGCTCACTGCAGCCTCTGCCTCCTGGGTTCAAGCAATTCTCCTGCCTCAGCCTCCTGAATAGCTGGGATTATAGGCATGCACCACCATGCCCAGCTAATTTTTGTATTATTAATAGAGATGGGGTTTCAACATGTTGGCCAGGCTGGTCTTGAACCCCTGACCTCAGGTGATGAGCCTGCCTTGGCCTCCCAAAGTGCTGGGATTACAGGCATGAGCCACCACGCCCAGCCTAAAATCTTTTTTGTTGTGTTTTTTTTTGTTTTTTTTTTTGAGACGGAGTCTTGCTCTGTCAGCCAGACTGGAGTACAGTGGCACAATCTCAGCTCACTGCAACCCCCCGCCTCCTGAATTCAAGTGATTCCCCTGCCTCAGCCTCCCACGTAGCTGGGACTACAGGCGCGGGCGACCATGCCTGGCTAATTTTTTATATTTTAGTAGAGGTGGGGTTTCACCATGTTGGCCAGGATGGTCTCAATCTCCTGACCTCGTGATCTGCCTGCCTCGGCCTCCCAAAGTGCTGGGATTACAGGTGTGAGCCACCACACCCGGCATAATCTTTTTATAATAAGGTCAGTGGTCAAGCTTAGGTTCGTATTGCCTATGGCTCTCAAGCTGATATGAAAGTACTTTTTTTTTTTTTTTTTTTTTTTTTCAAAAATATGAAATTTTTTTTTTTTTTTTTTTTTTTTTTTTTTTTCTAAAAGATGAAATGTAATTTTTTTTTTTTTAAACTCGATTTATTTTTTTTGAGATGGAGTCTCACTGTCACCCAGGCTGGAGTGCAGTGGCATGCCATCTTTACTCACTGCAATCTCTGCCTCCCAGGTTCAAGCGATTTTGCTGCCTCAGCCTCCCGACTAGCTGGGATTACAGGCCTGCGCTACCACACCTGGCTAATTTTCATATTTTTAGTGGAGATGGAGTTTCGCCTTGTTGGCCAGGCTGGTCTGAACTCCTGACCTCAAGATCCTCCTGATTCGCCCACCTCAGCCTCCCAAAGTCCTGAGGTTACAAGTGTGAGCCACCATGCCCAACAGAATTATAATATTTTAATGTGATATAAATCTAATACTGTACTCTGCATGCTTTCCTTCAAGAAATTGTCTGTGCTTTTTAGTCTAATGACTATGAATATATAAATATTTAATTATTACGGCTTATAGGTGTATTGTGCCAAAAAGGTGTCTTTAAATATATCTCTGCAGTGACAGATACCAAAATTAGCACCTTTTTACACTCAGGTACCACATTTATAGAAATTTAATACCCTGTCATTCAGCTCTAGAGTTTCAGGGGAGGTGCTAGTGTGTCTCCATCAACTCTCTCCTTGCTCTTTTCCCAGGCAACCTACTTAGAATCACAGATGCTTAATATGGTGGCCATCTCAGGCAACATTTTTCTAATAAGAAAGTGGCTTGTTGGTACACAGCTGGCAAATATGCAGTTCAAAAGGAACAAACTGGGCCGGGCGCAGTGGCTCACGTCTGTCATCCCAGCACTTTGGGAGGCTGAGGCAGGCAGATCACAAGGTCAAGAGATGGAGACCATCATGGCCAACATGGTGAAACCCCGTCTCTGCTAAAAAAAATATAAAGAAATTAGCTGGGCATGGTGGTGCACACCTGTAGTCCCAGCTACTCGGGAGGCTGAAGTGGAAGAATCACTTATATCTGGAGGCGAAAGTTGCAGTGAGCAGAGGTTGCAGTGAGCTGAGATTGTGCCATTGCCCTCCAGCCTGGTGAGAGAACGAGACTTTATTTCAAAAAAAAAAAAAAAAAAGAAGAAAGGAATAAACTGTTTTAGGCCAGGCATGGTGGCTCATGCCTGTAATCCCAGCACCTGGGGAGGCTAAGGCAGTTGACTCACTTGAGCTCAAGTGTTGTGACCAGCCTGAGTAACATGGCAAAATCCTGCCTTTTTTAATTTTTAAATTTAATTTTTAAAAATACCTTAAAAGAAATAAACTTTTTTAAACCTAAAGTTTGTATTGAGCTCAGACCTAATGAGCAGGGTCAGGATTTGCACAGGAGGGAGCAGAGTTTAGAACAGGGTTATTGAAAAGTATTCAGTAGTAGTAGTAATAATATGTCACTGGTTGCATATAACTAGGAGAAGACAGTAAGGTTGACAACAGAGATTGCCCAACAAATAGTAGTTGCAGCTCTTTTCCTCTTCGACTTCGGTTTCTCTTATTAGCTCTGTGGCCTAGCAAGGGTTGAGACAATATTTTGCTATCTTAAATAAAGGTAGGATGAAGTTACATCTTGAATTTCTTTTGAATCCTTCATAATACACTAATGAATATAGACTAGGCATATAGTAAATGCTAAGTTGATTGAGAGGATAATTTAGAGTTTACATTTAAGAGAAGAATATTTTTAGCTGGGCATGGTGGGGCACACCTGTAATTCCAGCATTTTAGGAGGCTGAGGCAGGCAGATCACTTGAGGTCAGGGGTTTGAGACCAGCCTGGCCAACATGGTAAAACCCTGTCTCTACTAAAAATACAAAAATTAGGTGGGACACAGTGGCTCGTGCCTGTAATCCCAGCACTTTGGGAGGCCGAGGCAGGCAAATCACAAGGTCAGGATGTCAAGACCATCCTGGCCAACACGGTGAAACCCCATCTCTACTAAAAATACGAAAAAATTAGCTAGGTGTGGTGGTGTGCACCTGTAGTCTCAACTACTCCAGATACTGAGGCAGGAGAATCACTTGAACCTGGGAGGCAGAGGTTGCGGTGAGCTGAGATCTCGTTGCTGCACTCCAGCCTGGCAACAGAACGAGACATCGTCTCAAAAAAAAAAATAATAAAAAACAATTACCTGGTATGGTGGCACGCACCTGTGATACCACCTACTTGGGAGGCTGAGGCAGGAGAATCTCTTAAACCCAGGAGGCAGAGCTTGCATTTAGCTGAGATCTCATCACTGCCCTCCAGCCTGGGCGACAGAGCAGGACTCTTTATCAAAAAAGAAAGAGAAGCTACTTTTAGAAGTACTTCACTATCTGTAAGTTGATAATAGTAAGTTTGTAAGAAGCATTGGCTTTAATTTGAAATTTATTATGTCAATATAATTTTCAAATTAGATATTGTAAACATCCACAAATATTAATTTGTTTATATAATGAATATCTCTTTCAACAATTTTACCTGCAGAAAAAAATGTTTTAAAAATTAGTGGTTAGGAACAAATCATCTCTGGAGGATAGTACTTAAGGGGTTTTTAGTTTCTAGATTAATTTTTTTTTTTTTTAATTGAGGCAGACTCTTACGCTGTCACCCAGGCTGGAATGCAGTGATGCGATCTTGGCTCACTGCAGCCTTCGCCTCCTGGGCTCAAGCAATTCTCCTGTCTCAGCCTTCCGAGTAGTTGGGACTACTACTAACAGGCACACACCACCACGCCTGGCTAATTTTTGTAATTTTAATAAAGATGGAGTTTCACCATACTGGTTAGGCTGGTCTCGAAATCCTGACCTCAGGTGATCTACCCGCCTCGGCCTCCCAAAGTGCTGGGATTACAGGTGTGAGCCACTGCATCCAGCCTAGATTAAATATTTCTTCTAGATTAAATATTTCTTTTGGGGGTGCAGTTTTTAAAAAGTACATTAGTTGCTATAACAAGATATCTTAGGCTGGGCGCAGTGGCTCACACCTATAATCCCAGCACTTTGGGAGGCCAAGGCGGGTGGATCACCTGAGGTCGGGAGTTCAAGACCAGCCTGACCAACATGGAAAAACCCCATCTGTATTAAAAATACAAAATTAGCCAGGCGAGGTGGCACATGCCTGTAATCCCAGCTACTCAGGAGGCTGAGACAGGAGAATCGCTTGAACCTGGGAGGTGGAGGTTGCGGTGAGCCGAGATTGCACCATTGTACTGAAGCCTGGGCAACAAGAGCAAAACTCTGTCTCAAAAAAAAAAAAAAAAAAAAACAAAAAAAAAAAAAAAATAAACTAAAAAAAAAATAAAAAATATTTTGATAAAAATACATTGCTTTCTTAATCAGAAACTAAATTGGTGTTAGAGAGAGATTTTTTTAAATAGCTATGCTTGGCTAAGATTTGCTAAAGTTCTTGTGTGTTTATACAGGGAAAACTTGAACGGAGTGACAACTGACGATAGAGAAATGAGGAAAAAGAAGGAAGAATATCTAACATTTGGTCCTCTTACAGTTGTAATATTTGTGGTCATCTGCTGTGTTATGATGGTCTTACTTTATTTCTTCTACAAATGGTTGGGTAAGAAGTCATATTTTACGTTTGCTATTGTTAACATACATTCTTTTCATTGATTAATACTAGATTTATCTTTTCCTTTTGGCCATTCTACCTGGAAAACTTATGTGAATAATTTGGTTAATATTAATTTTTTAATTGTCTCACTGACTAATACTAGATTTATCTTTTCCTTTAAGCCATTCTACCTGGAAAACTTACTGTATAATTTTATTAATATTTTTTTCTAATTGTCAGAGTGTTAGATCTCTGTTACTCTAAGATAAAAAAATACTCAGATTAAAAATACTCTCTGTTTTCAGACGAGAACACTTCTTCATTGATGACTTGAAATAGTTGCCATGGTCCCTAAGTTTTTCTCTCTGTAGATGAAGAATGATACAGCTCAGTATCTAAGCAGTGGACTAAGGAGTTCTTGGTGGCTGTGTTTAGTTACGTGAAATAGAATATTATTCAAATTATGATGTATTGCCTCTACTTACTCCCAAAGTATAGCTGTTTGCAAATAAAGGTGTTTTATTGCTTGAATTTTATTTTACTTATATAGGCAGTTAGGATCATATTATATCTGAAGACACACAGGTACTTCCCTGTGATCTAGAAAGTAGTAGCTATTCCTTTATTTCCTTGAAGAAAGTGGGAGTAGAACTGTAATGGCTTGTCCATCTCCTGAACTGTCTTATTGATGGTCTAACAGAATGAAAATTTGCCATCCCCGGACAGTATACAACACAAAGAGAAGGGAAACCAGAGAAAAAGAAGTGTACCTGATAAGACCTAGCAAAAAGCCCATTTAAGAACCACTAAAGGCTTCCACGCTTATGTGTATAGCATTAGCACAAATTTCTGGTTTAGAAAACTAGGCCTTAGGGTTTGTTTCATTCAGTTTTTGTTCAGTTTCTCTTGTCCTGTGACAGCATTTTAAAAACTAGACCTATGACATCTTTTATTGGTTTGTTTGTTTGTTTTTTGAGATGGAGTCTTGCTCTGCTCTGTCACCCAGGCGGGAGTGCAGTGGTACAATCTGGCCTCACTGCAACCTGTGCCTCCCACATTCAAGCCATTTTCCTGCCTCAGCCTTCTGCGTAGCTGGGACTACAGGCGCATGCCATCATGCCCAGCTAATATTTGTATTCATATTTTATTTATTTATTTATTTATTTATTTATTTATTTATTTATTGAGCTGGAGTCCTGCTCTTGTCACCCATGCTGGAGTGCAATGGTGCAATCTCGGCTTACCGCAACCTTTGCCTCCAGAGTTCAAACGATTCTCTTGCTTCAGCCTCCCAAGAAGCTGGGATTACAGGCATCTGCCACTATGCCCAGCTAATTTTTGTATTTTTAGTAGAGACGGGGTTTCACCATGTTGACCAGGCTGGTCTCAAAGTCCCGACCTCAGGTGATCAGCCTGCCTTGGCCTCCCAAAGTGCTGGGATTGCAGGCATGAGCCACTGTACCTGGCTTATGGTGTGTATTTTTTAATTTGAAAGAACTCATTCTGGATTGATGCAGTGGCTCTCGCCTGTAATCCCAGCACTTTGGGAGGCCAACGTTCACGGATCGCTTGAGGGCAGGGGTTCAAGACTAGCCTTGCCAACATGATAAAACCCCGTGTCTACTAAAAATATAAAAATTAGCTGGGCGTGGTGGCATGTGCCTGTAATCCCAGCTACTCGGGAGGCTGAGGCAGGAGAATTGCTTAAGCTGGGAAGGCGGAGGTTATGGCTAGCCAAGATCGCATGATTGCACTCCAGCCTAGGTGACAGAGTGAGACTCCATCTCAAAAATAAATTTAGAAAAAACCTCATTTTGTGAATATCACTCATTTCAACCTGTTGCTGATAGAGCGAGTACTAGGATGATATTTATTATGTTGACATCAAAAAGATGATTTTATTAATACTCCTTCAGATTAATTTGTGTTACCAACTCTCAGTTGATAGTAGTCATTGATAGAGAAAAGAGAGCCCTCTACCCAAAAGCATATTTTAATTTTTGATGAGAAATTTCCTTAAATTAATTATTATATAAAAAGAAGATGGTTGGCTCACACCTGCAATCCCAGCACTTTGGGAGGCCAAGGCGGGTAGATCACTAAGGTCCAGGGTTTGAGACCAGCAGGGACAACAAGGCAAAACTCCATCTCTACTAAAACTACAAAAGTTGGCCGAATGTGGTGGCGCATGCCTGTAGTCCCAGCTACTCAAGAGGCTGACACAGGAGAATCGCTTGAACTCAGGAGGCGAAGGTTGCAGTGAGCCGAGATCATGCCACTGCACTCTGGCCTGGGCGACTGGATGACTGGGCAAGACTCTTTCTCAAAAAAAAAAAAAAAAAAAAAAACCCTCAAGATCTACATTTCAGCTTAGTAAGTAATTCAGGTCATAGTATAGTCACTTCATTGGAAGTATGATTCAATAAAGAAAGCTAAAGAAGTAATATTGCTTATATAAATATTTTCTTATCACCTTTCTGTTCTCATGTAATTTAGTGTTTTGTTTTTTTCTAGTTTATGTTATGATAGCAGTTTTCTGCATAGCATCATCAATGAGTCTGTACAACTGTCTGGCTGCACTAATTCGTAAGATACCATATGGACAATGCACGTAAGTATCTCTTACAGAAAATCTTACGATGTTGGTATTTGTAATTTAAAACATTACAAGAAAAAGTAGAAGTATTATTTGAAAAGTATGCAGTCTGATACAAACTGGACCTATAGGTGTTTAAATTTAAGTAAAATTAAATAAAATTAAAAATTGAGTTTTTCATTCTCATTAGCCACATTTCAAGTGCTCAATAGCCACATGTGGCAGTAGCTACCATATTGTACAGCACAGATATAGGACATTTTCATCATCATGGAAAATTACATTGAACCGATAAACATTTTATTATGTCATTTGTTTTACTTAAAATCAGGACTTCTAAATTGATATTTCAGTCACTTCTTATGACTGTGGTTAACATTTGCCACTTCTTTTATTTATTTATTTTTTAGAGACCATGTTGGTCAGGCTGGTCTTGAACTCCTGACCTCAGGTGATCTGCCCGCCTTGGCCTCCAAAGTGCTTGGATTACAGGCATGAGCCACCGCGCCCGGCCAACATTTGCCACTTCTTATATTAAGTGAACATTGTACTTCATCTGCAGCATTAACTATTTCACTTTGCTTTTTTAGGATTCTGTGTCGTGGCAAAAGTGTGGAAGTGAGACTTATTTTTCTCGCTGGACTATGCATAGCAGTAGCTGTTGTTTGGGCTGTGTTTCGAAATGAAGACAGGTATGAATTCTCGATATATTTGCTTTTAGATTAAGGATGAATTGTTTCATATCTTGCCCTGATACTTATTCATTATGATTATTATGGAATTTTTTTTTTACTTCTGTGCCAGAACACCAGTCTTGTAATGAACTACTTTTAAAGTAAGCAGATCATATGCGAATGCATTTGAATGCATATAGAGAAGGAAATATGAATTATGATTTCAACACATACACTGAAATAGATTTTAATAATATACTTAATTTTGGTATAGCCACACAGTAGAGTGCAATGCAGCTCTAAACAGTGAAGATCTCTAGAACTGATTTGCAGCCAGTTCCAGAAGAGAGAGAGACACAGAGAGAGAGAAAGTGAGTGTAGAAACAATCCAAATGTCCATCAAACCTTGAATGGATGAATACATTATGTTATATTTACACCATGGAATACTATTCACCAGTAAGTAAGCCATATACCATATGCACAAGCATGAATGAATCTCAGACATAATGCTAAGTCAAAGTCATCAGAAACAAAAGAGAACATACTCTATGATATATAAAGTGCAAAAAGGAGCACAATCTATGCTTTATTTTTATCTTTGATTATTATGGGAACATAACTATATATATTTATGGGATATATGTGATGTTTTGATACAGGCATACAATGTGTAATGATCAGATCAGGGTAATTGTGGTATCCATCACCTCAAGCCTTTATCATTTCTTTGTGTTGGGAACATTCCAATTTCACTCTTTTAGTTATTTTACAATATACAATAAGTTATTATTAACTGTATCACCTTACTGTACTACCAAACGCTAGATCTTATTTATTTTATTTAACTCTATTTTTGTACCCATTAACCATCTTTACTACCCCCGCCCCACCTGTTTTTAGCCTCTGGTAGCCATCATTCTACTATCTCCATGAGTTCAATTTTTAATTTTTATTTTCTTAATTTTAGCTCCCACTGTGAGTGAGAACATGCAGTAGTTGTCTTTCTGTACTAGGCTTATTTCACTTAACATGATGTCTTCCAGTTCCAGCCATGTTTTTGCAAATGACAAGACTTCATTCTTTTTTGTGGCTGAATAATATTCCACTGTGTTTGTGTATAATTTCATATGTATGTATAATTTCCTTTATCTGTTTATTCACTGATGAACACTTAGGTTGATTCCGTATCTTCGCAATTGTGAATAGTGCTACAATAAACATGAGAGTTCAGATATCTCTTTGATATACTGATTTCATTTATTTTGGATGTATATCCAGTGGTGGGATTGCTGGATAATATGGTAGTTCTGATTTCCATTTTTTGAGGAATTTCTATACTGTTCTTCATAGTGGCTGTGCTAATTCCCACCAACGGTGTACAAGGTTTCCCACATCCTTTTCCCACATCCTTGCCAGCATTCTGGAATAAGATATCTCATTATAGTTTTGATTTATATTTCTCTGCCCGCAACCAGATTTCATCTGATTGGAAATCTTGAGCATTTTTTCATATATCTGTTTGTCATTTGTATATTTTTGGAGAAATACCTATTCAGATATTTTGCCCAATTTTTAATCAGATTATTTGTTTTTTTCCTATTGAGTTGTATGAGCTCCTTATATATTCTGGTTATTAATCCCTTGGCAGATGGGTAGTTTGCAGATTGCTTTTTCATTTTGTGGGTTGTCTCTTCCTTTGCTATGCAAAAGCTTTTTAGCTTGATTTAATTCCATTTGTACATTTTTGCTTTGGTTGTCTGTGCTTTTGAAGTCTTACTCAAGAAATCTTAGCCAAGACCAATGTCCTGGAACATTTCCCCAATGTTTTCGTCTAGTAGTTTCATAGTTTCAGGTCTTAGATTTAAGTCTTTAATCCCCTTTGATTTGATATTTGTATTTTTTTTAAGTGAAAAAAGCAAAGTGCAAAAATATATAGAGAGTATGCTGTCTTTTATGAAAGAAAGAAGGGACTATAAGAAAATATACAGATATCTGTTCATTTGCAGGAAGACAACCAGAAAAAAATATATACTTAGGTTTATGTAATGGTTTATTAATAAAACTATTGAAGACTGAAAGGATTTAATGGCCGAAAATTTTAGAAACAAAGCTCATACAACTTTATGTAGCTTCAGGTAGAATAATCAATGGATAATGCTTTCTGATGGAATAAGTGGTTGCATAGCTCTTGTTTTCTTGTTTTTGAGACAGAATCTCTCTCTGTCACACATGCTGGTACAGTAGCTCAATCTTGGCTCATGGCAACCTCCTCCCAGTTTCAAGCCATTCTCCTGCCTCAGCCTCCTGAGTAGCTAGGATTACAGGTGCCTTCCACCATGCTGGGCTAATTTTTGTATTTCTAGTTGAGATGGGTTTCACCATGTTGGTCAGGTTGGTCTTGAACTCCTTACCTCATGATCCGCCCACCTTGGCCTTCCAAAGTGCTGGGATTACACATGTGAGCTACCACACCTGGCCACTAGCTCTTGTATTCTTTATATTCAAGGTATTTGGATCTGTGTTAACACTGATAATCTTTTGTTAACAGCTGTTTTCTAGAATGAGACATCTGTATAAGTTAAAAGGTTAGGCCAGGCATGGTGGCTCACGCCTGTAATCCAAGCGCTTTGGAGGCCAAGGTGGGCAGATCACCTGAGGTCAGGAGTTCAAGATCAGCCTGACCAACATGGTGAAATCTTGTCTTTAAAAATAAATAAATAAATAAATAATAAGTTAAAAGGTTAAAGATAAATACTCATTTATGTCTGATATATGTTCTTCTGAGGTAGCCTTTTCAACTATTTCTTAGTATAATAATATTCATGGCCGGGAGTAGTGGCTCACGCCTGTAATCCCAGCACTTTGGGAGGATGAGGTGGGCAGATCATGAGGTCAAGAGATCGAGACCATCCTGGCCAACACAGTGAAACCCCGTATCTACTAAAAATACAAAAAAATTAGCTGGGCATGGTGTTGCACGCCCGTAGTCCCAGCTACTCGGGAGGCTGAGGCAGGAGAATTGCTTGAACCCGGGAGGCGGAGGTTGCAGTGAGCCGAGGTCGCACCACTGCACTCCAGCCTGGTGCCTGGTGACGGAGTGAGACTCTGTCTCAATAATAATAATAATAACAATAATATTCTACTAGGACAGTAAAATTACCAAATATGGAATATATGAGGGGTTTTGTTGTTATGCTTGCTGTTTAATAATTGAATAGTCAAAAATCAGCCAAGCATGATGGCACATGCCTGTAGTCCCAGCTACTCCAGAGGCTGAGGCACAAAAATTGCACGTACCCAGGAGGCAGACATTGCAGTGAGCTGAGATCGCACCACTGTACTCCAGCCTGGGTGACAGAGTGAGATGCTGTCTCAAAAAATATATATGGAATAGTGAAATCATAGCAATTAAACAATATTACCTCAGTGATCTATGTCTTTTGAAAAGCTTCATCTAAAAATTGGTAAAGCAATAGAGTCATATCTTTTGATTTTTAGGTGGGCTTGGATTTTACAGGATATCTTGGGGATTGCTTTCTGTCTGAATTTAATTAAAACACTGAAGTTGCCCAACTTCAAGGTAATGTATACGATACTACTTTGCTAGTTAAAATAAATTTTTAAAAGATAACTTTATTAACCATAATTTACATACATTTAAATGCACCAATTTTCGGTGTACTGTTTATGGAAATTTTACAAACGTACCTTTGTAACCACTATGCTAGTGAAGTTGTAGAACATTTCTCATCTCTTCCAAAAGCTCTACCCTGGCCTTTGCAATCAGTCCTAACTCCCAGGCCCAGACAACCACTGATTTGTTGGCTAAATGATTATAGTTTTTTTTTCCTTTCTTTTACTTGTATAAATGTAAGGGGTTCAAGTGTAGTTTTATTACATGGATATATTGGGTAGTGGTGAAATGTGGGATTATAGTATAGCCATCACTCGACGAATGTGTGTTGTCCCCGTCGAGCAATTTCTCATTCCTTACACTTTCTAACCCTACAATCATGCCGAGTATCCAGTGCCTATTATTCCCAACTCTTATCCATGTGTACACATTATTTTAGCTAAATGTTTTTGTTTGTTTTTATAGAGATGGAGGTGTTGCTATGCTGCTGTTCTCAAGCTGCTAGCCGCAAGTATCCTCCTGACTTGGCCTCCCAAAGTGCTGGGATTGCAGGCATGAGCCACTGCACCATGCCTAAAATATTTTTAATCACTCATACTGTCTGCCACATTCATAAAATCGTTAACACGACTTAATATCAGGGAAGCACATTTCTTTTTTTTTTTGAGACAGAGTCTCATTCTGTCACCAGGCACCAGGCTGGAGTGCAGTGGTGCGACCTCGGCTCACTGGCAACCTCCACCTCCTGGGTTCAAGCAATTCTCCTGCCTCAGCCTCCCTAGTAGCTGGGACTACAGGGGCACGCCACCATGCCCAGCTAATTTTTTTGTATTTTTAGTAGATACGGGGTTTCACCGTGTTGGCCAGGATGGTCTCGATCTCTTGACCTCTTGATCTGCCTGCCTCGGCCTCCCAAAGTGCTGGGATTATACGTGTGAGCCACTGCACCTAGCCTAGTGCATTTCTTTGGTTCAGTGATTTTTTTAAAAAACAAGATAAAGACCCCAAAACCTAAAATGCAATAAAAATAAAAATAAAAAATAAAAAAATAAAAAAAAAAAACAAGATAAAGAAGATAAGGGTTTTAATATATAGAATAAAAGTACACATAGTATTAACCATAAGATGTCTTTTTAAAAATTATATTCAAATGTACATTCATATGTTTATTTGCACTTGAAAAATAATTTAATGTCTTAATTTACATATAGGAAGATTGACCTTTAATTTTGTTTCTTTCTTCAACAGTCATGTGTGATACTTCTAGGCCTTCTCCTTCTCTATGATGTATTTTTTGTTTTTATAACACCATTCATCACAAAGGTATGACCATATTTTTGAAATTCATGAAGAAAAATTTTAAAAAAAGTAAGAATCTTAAGTCTGCTCCTAGATTATTGATTTTGCAGATGTTTACCACTGAGTTCTAATTCTCTTAAGAGAATTGTCATTGAAATTGGCCTTTTAATTTTCAAGGCTTTAGTCATTTTGTTAGATTTTTAAAAGGTCTTTTGACTGGTACAAATATGAGAATGTCTGTAATTTTCTTCCCTTTTTAAAGTAATTTTTCTTATGAGCTAAATGTTTACTGTATGCAATATAGACAGTAAAAAAAAGTAAAATATCATTTCTGAAGCCTTAGTTTGAGTCTAAGAAAGAGCAACACCCTAGAAATCGGAAGGCCTAGAATGTAGCTTTGCAACCCTGCAGCCATAGGCAAGTTTACTTAGCCCTTTCTGCTTCCATTTACTAATCCATTGTATGAGGGAGTATTGCTAGCTGTTCATCCTCTCACCCACTTCAGTGGAATTCTTTTGGTTCTAACTAACAGAACCCAACCTAAACCTTCTGTACCCAAAAAGTCCCATTTATCTAGACTGTGTTTGTAGGCCAGCATGGGCTGGCATCAAGAGAAACTAGACCCAGGGCCACATACTCTCCCTTTTTTGCTTCTGTCCTTTTGTTCATTCTCTCAGACTGGCTTTTTCCATGAAGTTAGAATCAGCAACTGGCAGCTCCTAATAATATATTCCCAGGTCTGCCACTAGTTCTTCAGTAAAATGAGAAGAGGTGTTGGGTGAGTATGGTGGTCCTTAATTATTTGTCCAGTTTTTCTACCTTGATCTTTTTCCTGTCTCATGAATATAATATTATTAACTATTGCTTAATTCCCCCACTTTCTCCCATTTTGAGTCTTTCTTTGTAACTATTTTATCCTTTGTCACTCTCAAGTGTTTAAGTATTTGATATTCTCTACTTTACTTGTCATTCCTTCTTCTTTTTTTTAAGGGTGAGTCTTGAGGCTGAAGTGTAATGGCACAATCCTGATTCACTGCAGCCTCAAACTCCTGGGCTCAAGCAGTCCTCCCACCTTGGCTTCCCAAAGTATTGGGATTACAGGCATAAGCCGTGACACCTGGCCTCATGTCTTCTTTACCCATTCATTAAACCTACCACCTATGAAATCACTGTAAAAATCTACACTTCTGATATTTGCTATAATGGCATAAAGACAAACTGTGCTCTGTTGGGGAGCTAAAATTGTAGTAGGTAACAAATATAATCAACTGCCCCAAAATACAGCTAACCAACCAAACCTTTTTTTTCTTCTTTGATTCAGGGTCTTGACCTGCCACCCAAGCTGGAGTGCAGTGGCTCAATCACCAGTTACTGCAGGCTTAACTTCCTCAGGCCCAGGCGATCCTCCCACTTCAGCCTCCCAAATAGCTGATACTACAGGGGCATACCACCACACCCAGCCAATTTTTGTATTTTTTGTCGAGATGGAGTTCAAGAGATCCTTCTGCCTCAGCCACCCAAAGTGCTAGGATTTATAAGTGTGAACCACCATGCCTGTCATAATCAAACCATTTTACTAGCACCTTTCTGTCACTTAATGATGAGCCATTTGATTCATTGACTTCACTGAACAATAGTAACCTAAAAAAATAACTCATAGAACTAATATTATGGGTTACAACTAAACTTGTCAATTTGGCCAGGCTCACACCTGTAATCCCAGCACTTTGGGAGTGCAGGCTGGCAGATACTTGAGGTCAAGGATTTGAGACCAACCTGGCCAACATGGTGAAACTCTGTCTATACTAAAAATACAATAATTTAGAGACCGGGCACAGTGGCTCATGCCCGTAATCCCAGCACTTTGGGAGGTCAAGGCGGATGGGTCCCTTGAGGTCAGGAGTTTGAGACCAGCCTAGCCAAGATGGTGAAACCCCGTCTCCACTAAAAAGACAAATATTAGCCGTGTGCAGTGGCGGGCACCTGTAATCCCAGCTACCTGTGGGGGCTGAGGGAGGAGAATCACTTGAACTCGGGAGGCAGAGGTTGCAGTGAGCCAAGATTGTGCCGCTGCACTTTAGCTTGAGTGACAGAGCAAGACTCCATCTCGAAAAATAAAATAAAATAAATAAAAAATAATAATTAGCCAAGTGTGGTGATGTGTACCTGTAGACCTAGCTACTTGGGAGACTGAGTTAGGAGGATCACTCGAACCCTGGAGGTGGAGGTTACAGTGAGCCAAGATTACACCACTACACTCCAGGCCAGGCAACAGAGTAAGACTCTGTCTCAAAAAATAAAATAAAATTGTTAATTTATTAGGGCATTTTTAACTTGATTCAAAAATGTGTTTTTGTAGGATATCCTGTCAAAGATCTTATAACAAAAGTGAAATGTTCCTTCTACAAAGCCATTTCCATAAATGAACAGATAGTCCATAACATATGACACGTATATTACACAGTAGATATAGCTGTAAACTGTAACTAAGCTATTTTTTTTAACTAAACAATAATTTTTCCATTCTGACACTACTCTCACTTTGTAGATAAACATATCTGCCAACAAACCATTTGCATTCCCTTATACATAGAATGTTTCAGAATTCTAAAGGTAGGATAATAATAAAGGTGTCTTATAGCCTTCTTTCTTTCGTGCTTAAGAAATTTTTCATCTTAGGAAATTATTTCTGTCTTAGTTCCTACTGACTAGGAACATGATTTCTAGCAACCTGAAATGGTGAAAAAAGCTAAGTGCTCTTTGGAGTTCACTACAGTAGACTTACTTTAATATCTTCTTCTCAGTTTGATTTTGTTTTTATTATGGCAGCAGACCTTACTTTAGTAGGCAACTCAAAATCAGATATTGCTGATTTTCCTGGTTTTCACTGTAAATTTGACAAAATATTGCATATTGTAAACATGTTCTTGACCCACGTATTTGTTGCCTTCTAGTGAGTTGGCAAGGCAGGTCGCCCTAAGAGTACAGCAATAAGAGACTGTCTTATTTTTTTCCATTCACCACTGTGCTCAGTATTGTGTCTTACAAATAGTAGTTATTCAGGTACCTTTAAATGTATGGGAGAATGTCAACGATGGTCTTCAGTTAAATGTTTTAAGTAACAATTAGAAAGTGAACCAAAATTAACTCTTTATCTGGAAATGTTATCACAACCTGGGAATCTGCTTTAAAGAATTCTACTTAGTATGTTTATTTTTCTTAACTCCTTTGGCTTAACCCTTCTATAACCCAAAGCTTAACACGAGCAAAAGATTTCTGCAGCTAGGGATTTTTGTCCTCCTTTCTACTCAGCTCAGCAATCAATGAGGTCGTTTTAAAAACACTCAAGTGGTTTATTCTGTGCACCCCACCCACATGGAAAATATTATAGTCAATCAAATTTTGTTGAAATTAGGATTTGTTTATCTTCCCTGTACCTGTTTTGCTGATAGGTTTATCATAATATGAAACATAAAATGAGTGGTTTATGCAGTCTTAGCTTGCTGCCCTACAGTGTTTTCCCTCTCCACAACAGACTTGGCTATCAGGAAAATTTTTTTAAATGAACCCCTCACACAGCCCACATGAAAAGTCTTTATCCAGACACAAGGGAGGGAAATTTAGCTAAGGTTAATGTTTTGATTGGATCATAAGAAAGCAGGCAGGGCTGAAATTGGATAAAATTTAGCCTAGAGAAGGTTCTCAGGTTCTATAGGGCTGGGTCTTTTCAAGTTTGCTTTTATTGTTTTGTTATTGTGGTGAGTAGCCAGAAGGTCAGATGTATATTTATTCAAATAAAGTTACCAATATTTTTTACAAAGCTAAATATAAAAGATTTTAATATGACCTTCTTCACTGACATTGCTGAAAACCACTAAGAGCATATAGTATATGACATAATGTAACTAAAAGTACTGAACCTAAAATTTATATCCCATTACAAATGTCAGATATTTAACATGTGAGTACAAATCAGAACTGAAGGTTCACTTGAATTATTTTTACATGATTCATTTGCCAGTTTCTGAGACTTGTTGAACTCTGATAAAGTGGAACAACTGTGCTCAATGAACTTTATTTTAGATGACTTCAGTTTTTGCTATCTGCAGAAACTTTTAGGAAAAAGGCAGTCTGTAGCCCATTTTCAGTCAGTGTACAGTAGGCCATATGCCATGGGGCTAAATGATACTTGAATAGTGGCAGATTGTTCTCTTTAAATGATTAGACAACTTCCTTTCTCTTCCTTCTCAATTTTAGAATGGTGAGAGCATCATGGTTGAACTTGCAGCTGGACCTTTTGGAAATAATGAAAAGGTAGGATGGCAATTAAATAGAAATGGCTGTCCAGTGTATGTATGTGTATCCAGTTAATAGTTTGCCTTCCTGTGTAATTCATTGGTCACGTAGTGCATGTGAAGGTATTGTAAACTTATTTCTCAGAAAATATAGCTCTTTTCTTAGTTATTCTAAATTATTAAATACCTATTGACTTGGGTTTCATCCTAGAATGATGGAAACTTGGTGGAAGCCACTGGTCAACCCTCAGCTCCCCATGAGAAAGTAAGGATTGTATTTCAGATATGTTCATTGGACTTTAAATCATACCCTCTGAGACAAGACTCTTCTTTGGGGGAAAAAAATCCAGGTTGCCAAAAAAAAATCTGTTTCAAGGCCTGAGTTCTATTCTTGATAAAGAGAAAAAAAAAAGGTTAAATGTGGGGATAGCTGATTAATGCTGTTAATCCTACATGTGTGTTGGGCTTTATTTTTTCAAAACTATTTCTTTTGGAAATAGAAACAGAGTATTTCAATTTCCTTTAAATTGTCAAAAGAATTATTCTAATGTTAATCATTCCCTTTCTAGAAGATATGGGTGGCCAGGCATGGTGGCGCACGCCTGTAATCCCAGCACTTTGGCAGGCCAAAGCAGGCGAATTGACTGAGGTCAGGAGTTCGAGACCAGCCTGGCCAACATGGTGAAACCCTGTCTCTAAAAATTAGCTGGGCATGGTGGCTCATGCCTGTAATCCCAGCTACTTGGGAGGCTGAGGCAGGAGAATCGTTTGAATCCGGGAGGCAGAGGTTGCATTTGCAGTGAGCTGAGATCTTACCACTGCACTCCACCTGGTTGACAGAGTGAGACTCTGTCTCCAAAAAATAAATGAATAAAAAATATGGGTAAAGATTGCTAAGAGGTTCATTGGTGGCCTCTTTTTTGTTTTATTTTGTTTTGTTTTTGAACAGTTGCCAGTAGTCATCAGAGTACCAAAGCTGACCTATTTCTCAGTAATGAGTGTATGCCTCATGCCTGTTTCAATATTGGGTTTTGGAGACATTATTGTACCAGGTAAGCAATTGTAAGAATTTCAGTAAAAAAAAATAGACTGATGATTTTAAATCATCATGTGTATGGAATCTGTAAAAGTTACCTATTCTGATTTAACTATTTCTGGCTGTCACTAGAGCTGGGATTGTCATAACAAAAAAGCTTATTGAGGGGTAGAAGATAAAGCCCAAGTGGTAAGAACCAAAGTACTGTAATAGCTCGTATGGCTCAAAGTTAATTAGAGGAAGCAACTAGGATCAGTTTAACCTTCTTCAAGAAGTATATTTGTGACCCTTTTTATAAGTTGAATATAATAATGAATATAATAATGCCAAACATATTTTACTTATCTTATATTTTAATTATCTTATATTTACTTATCTTATATTACTTATATTTTAAGATAACAGTTATGTTTTAGAAAAAGTAGTTTAAGAGTATTAGGCAAGGCCACGATCAAGAGGAGAAACATGGAAGAACACCAGCTTGTAGGACTGCATGATACAGAAAGACACAGTTTATAGTGGAATTGATCACCTTCTCTTAGCATGTCTGCTCTGGCGGTCAGTGTAGTTCTGCCTTATTTTTCTCATGGCACTGCCTGTGGAATAAACTTAATCCAACCCCAGTAATAATTTAGTTTAGAAGTAATTAATAATACTCCTCTATCAGCTGAGTTTTTCCTTCTTCATTTTTCTTACAGTCTCCTATGTATTAACTGCCTGTGGTGGATGGGCGAGGAGTACCGGTGCTTCTGAAAAAGCCCTTCTATTTACGTAGTAAAACCAGGTAGAGAGGGAGAAGTTAGCAGTGTTGCCTTGCAAGTTGACATGGCAAAGTCCAGTATAGCAGCTCTCTTAGCTCAGTGAATCTCCATTCAGATAATTGGTAAAATAAGGAAAACATTCTATTGAGTAACCTTACACTTCTTTGAATATCATTAAACTTTTACCTGATTTTACCATTTCCACACCAAGTGCTATAAAAGATCTTCTATATAGAGCTTGGCATAAAACTGGTAAAAATAGTATTTAAATATTACATTATTGAAGTAAATGTCAAAGGTCTAAAACAAAAATATTTCCCCAAAGAGCAGAGGTGCTGACAATACATGACTTAATCCTAAAAGCTAAATTTGAATTTAGGGAGGAAAAAAGTATAATTAAAAAAAAATATGGATATGTGATTAAACAGCAGAAACAATAAGGAACTTCAAGATCAAGATAATGGTAGAAAAAGAAAAAAGAAGAAACAAGGAACTTAATTTATTAATTTTTTAGAGACCAAAACTAATTAATTCAAATAACTAATAAAGATGATAAAATTGTTTTATAATTTTTTAAGTGGTTAACTGTCATTCTTTCTGTTTTTATAAAATGATAAATAAATACAAGGTGAGATTTCTTCTTTGGGAAGAAGAAATGGTTGAACAAATTTCTTACAAGAAATAGGTATTAAATGAGTTCTTTCTACATAATTGCACGTTTACAAATGAAAGCGTGAGCCTAGCGTGGTAGCTCACGCCTGTAATCCCAGCCCTTTGGGAGGCTGAGGTGAGCGGATCAGTTGAGGCCAGGACTTCAAAACCAGTCTGGCCAACATGGTGAAACCCCATCTCTACTAAAAATACAAAAATTAGTCAGGCATGGTGGCACGCGCCTGTATTTCCAGCTACTCGGGAGGCTGAGGCAGGAGAACCACATAAACCCAGGAGACAGAGGTTACAGTGAACTGAGATCACACCACTGCACTCCAGCCTGGGTGACAGAACGAGACTCCATCTCAAAAAAAAAGAAAAAGACTTAATAGTTTTCCAGTCCGTGTATATACCACATTTTCTTTATTCATTCATCTGTTGATGGGCACATAGTTTGCTTCCATATCTTAGCTATTGTGAATAATGCTGCAGTGAATATAGGAATGCAGATATCTCTTTGACATACTGATTTCACTTCCTTTGGATATATACTCAGTAGTGGGATTACTAGATCATACGGTGGTTCTAATTTTAATTTTCTGAAGAACCACCATACTGGTTTTTATAATGACTACACTAATTTACATTCCTATCAACAATGTACAAGGGTTCCCTTTTTGTTACTTCCTCTCTAAGACTTACTTTTAATCTTTTTGATAATAGGCATTCTAAAATATGTAAGGTGGTATCTCATTGTGGTTTTAATTCATATTTTTCTGATGATTAGTGATTTTGAGCAATTTTTTCTTTTTTCTTTTTTTTTTGAGACGGAGTTTCACTCTTGTTACCCAGGCTGGAGTGCAATGGCACGATCTCAGCTCACCGCAACCTCCGCCTCCTGGGTTCAGGCAATTCCCCTGCCTCAGCCTCCTGAGTAGCTGGGATTACAGGCACACGCCACCATGCCCAGCTAATTATTTTTTTTGTATTTTTAGTAGAGACGGGGTTTCACCATGTTGACCAGGATGGTCTCGATTTCTTGACCTCATGATCCACCTGCCTTGGCCTCCCAAAGTGCTGGGATTACAGGCATGAGCCACCGCGCCTGGCTTGAGCAATTTTTTCATATATGTGTTGGCTGTTTGTGTGTCTTCTATTGAGAACTGGCTATTCAAATTCTTTGCCCATTTTCTAATTGGGTTGTTTACTTATTATTGAGTTAAGTTTCTTATATTAATATATTTTAGATATTAACCCCTTATCAGATATATAGTTTGCAAATATTTTCTCCCATTTCATAGGTGCTGACTTTGTTGACTGTTTCCTTGGCTGTGCAGAAGATTTTAGTTTACTGTAAACCTATTTTTCTGTTCAATACATTTTTTAATTACAAATTTTAAAAGTTTTCTTCATGACATGGAATATTGATCAGCTAATAAAAATGACAGTTAAAAATTATTTAATAACTTGAGGAAATGTTTAAAATATGTTATTAAGCATTTTAAAAATCAGTATGTAAAACTTTGTCCAGAATTTGAGGTACTTGAATGTTTTCATAATGCAACAATGAAGATTCAATGCAACATTTACTGTTACCATAGTTAACAGTTGAATTTGCATTGCTGTTGTTTTAAGAAAATAATATGGAGTTTTTTTTTTTTTAAGGCCTATTGATTGCGTACTGTAGAAGATTTGATGTTCAGACTGGTTCTTCTTATATATACTATGTTTCCTCTACAGTTGGTAAATTTTTGTTTTTTCTTTGTATTAAATGTTGAATTGTATTATCTGGAGGAAAAGACAGAGGTCTAAAAATGAAGGAGTATAGTTTGGGCATGGTGGTTCACCCCTGTAGTTCTAGCACTTTGGGGGCCAAGGCGAGCAGATTGCCTGAGCCCAGGAGTTCAAGACCAGCCTGGGCAACATAGTAAGGCCTCATCTCTGTAAAAAATATTTTAAGGTGGGGCGCAATGACTCACGCCTGTAATCCCAGCACTTTGGGAGGCCAAGCCAGGCAGATCACAAGGGCAAGAGATTGATACCATCCTGGCCAACGTGGTGAAATCCCATCTCTACTAAAAATACAGAAAACAATTAGCTGGGCATGGTGTCACGTGCCTGTAGTCCCAGCTACTCGGGAGGATGAGGCAGGAGCATTGCTTGAATCCAGGAGGCAGAGGTTGCAGTGAGCCAAGATTGCACCACTGCACTCCAGCCTGGGTGACAGATTGAGACCCTGACTCAAAAGAAAAAAAAATTAAAAATAGCTGGGTATGGTGGTTGTGCCTGTGGTCCCAGCTACTCAGGAGGCTGAGATGGAGAAACGCTTAAGCTCAGGAGGTCAAGGCTGCAGTAAGCCATGATCGTACCATTTCACTATAGCCTGGGTGAAAGACTGAGTCCCTATCTCAAAAAAAAAAAGAGAGAGAGAGAGAGAAAAGAACAGAAAAAAGTGAGGGAGAAGATGAAGAAAAGAAAAAAGTATAAAGAAATTTAAAAGGCAGTCTCTGCCAGGCACAGTGGCTGGCCAGACGCGGTGGCTCATGCCTATAATCCCAGCACTTTGAGAGGCCGAGATGGGTGGATCACTTGAGGTAAGGAGTTTGAGACCAGCCTGGCCAACATGGTGAAATCTCATCTCTACTAAAAATACAAATAATAGCTGGGCATGTTGGCGCACACCTATAGTCGCAGCCACTCAGAAGGCTGAGGTAGGAAAAAATTGCTTGAACTCAAGAAGCGGAGGTTTCAGTGAGACAAGATTGCACCACTGCCCTCCAGCCTGGGCAACTGAGCAAGGCTCTGTCTCAAAAAAAAGCAGTTTGAGGCCTCTCTCAGTATGGTACTCTCCAGGACTTTAACATATTAGTATCCAAAGGCAGACTATAAGAGAGTTCATTAATTTTCCTGTGTACCTTTGGACAATCACTTAAACTCCCTGATACTCCATTGCCTCATCTTTAAAATTAGGAACTATACTAAATTGTTTATAAAGGCAATATTCTGAGATCCTGTGTTCCTAATAAAACCCTGAGTCATTAAGAAAGGTTCAAAAGTATGTGCTTATTATCAAAGCTTAGAAAGTATGTAATCAGTGTTAGGAAGATTTTTTAAAATAAACTTCAGTACCTGTTGGTACAGATTCAGTTATCTAAAATATGAAACCATTTAACATCTTTAACAGCAACAGATAATTGAAACTCTCATGAATTATTATCTTTATCAATGATTCATGTTTAGGTTAACAATAATTGAAATGCTAACCAGTTTCCAAATTTGTCCAAAAGCTCCCTAGAAGGTCTCTCCTAATCCTATCTAGGAAAATGATGAAATTACAAGAAGTCATAGAGCAAAAATGTCCTCAGAAATATTTGAAAATCAACACTTAAATGAGGGAGGAAAAAACCCACCTTTGGTAACATGTAGAAATGACTGATAGCTTGATATTCTTCTTGCAGCCTATGCTATTGGCATGATACTTACATTTGTTGTTCTGGTGCTGATGAAGAAGGGGCAACCTGCTCTCCTCTATTTAGTACCTTGCACTCTTATTACTGCCTCAGTTGTTGCCTGGAGACGTAAGGAAATGAAAAAGTTCTGGAAAGGTAACAACTATCAGGTATGTGCCTATACTTTGGTTACCAAGTTATCTTATGACTTAATTTACTGACCGATTTTGGGTAGGAACAGACTATATATAGCAAAGCTTTTATGTACCAAAAAGTACTGTAATACCCCCTTACTCGTTGTCCACCTGCTGCGTCATCATTTGTCACCTCCCCTGCAATCTAATGCCAAAAGCCTGGTGATTCAAGACAAAACTAAAAAAAAAAAACAAAAAACAAAACAGCAGAGGGCATCAGGGAAAACAAAATAGCATCCTACGCAAGCTGGGCATGGTGGTTCACACCTGTAATCCCAGCACTTTGGGAGGCCGAGGTAGGCGAATCACAAGGTCAAGAGATTGAGACCATCCTGGCCAACATGGTGCCCCATCTCTACTAAAAAATATAAAAATTAGCTGGCCCTCACCTGTAGTCTCAGCTACTCAGGATGCTGAGGCAGGAGAATTGCTTGTACCCGGGACCTGGAGGTTGCAGTGAGCCAAGATCACGCCATTGCACTCCAGCCTGGCACCTGGCAACAGAGCAAGACTCTGTTTCAAAATAAATAAATAAAGTGTAAGTACTTAATTTTGAGACTGTCATTAGCTATTTATAGTAAGAGTCCTAAAGTTTTACAGTTAAAAGGTGTACTCTTCTGCCAGGTATGGTGGCTCATGCCTGTTATCCCAGAATTTTGGGAGGCCAGGGCGGGTGGATCACCTGAAATCAGGAGTTCGAGACCATCCTGACCAAAATGGAGAAACCCCATATCTACTAAAAATACAAAATTAGCTAGGCATGGTGGCGCATGCCTGTAATCCCAGCTACTTGGGAGGCTGAGGGAGGAGAATTGCTTGAACCCAGGAAAGTATACTCTTCAGCTTCTAAAAAACTTGACACCAGAGTCTCTTTTGTTTGAGTGGTTTCTTTGTTGAAGTTAAACCTTTTTCTTTTTTTTTTTTTTTTCTAAGTGTTCTTGGTATTCCAGTAAAGTCTGTTTGCATTGAAATTAAGAAGAGTTGGGAAACCCTAGCCTATTGAGGTCAGGGCCATGGCACTGACCCCTTCATGAAGGCACTTTGTGAGGCAGTTACCTTTGCTTTGCGCTCTTATAACTACTACCCTCCTCCATCCACTCTCATGATTCTGTGTCAGTGGTCATGTGAACAAAAAGACACTTTGGGTGGGTGGCTGCAATTCTGATAGTAGATAAACAGTTCAAAGTTCATGTTCATCTTGTGCTTGGTCTTTCCTGTCATTTATAGTGTTACTTAATGAGAAGTGGTTAACACATTAAGTGACAGACTACTTTGATTTGAAAAAGCACTGGTTTAGAATGGTTTTGGGGAAATCTTAAAATTTCTTCAAGATTTGGTTAAACTAGTAATACCTGTCTTGCCTACCTCACAAAGCTGTTTTCTCGTCTTATACTATTTTTGTTTTTTTTTTAAATAAAAACAGGGTTTTACCATGTTGGTCAGGCTGGTCTTGAACTCCTGACCTCAGGTGATCCGCCCGCCTTGGCCTCCAAAGTGCTTGGATTACAGGCGTGAGCCACCACGCCCAGCCTCATCTTATACTATTATATGTAGAATTAGTTTATGATCCTAAGGCCCTTGGCTAAACTGGTAAGGTAACTTTTAACTTTTCCATGATGATGACACTCACATAAGTTTTTTATTTTTATAGATTTTTAAAAATAAAAGTGTATCTATGATACATACTATGCTAATAACCTCTGAAAATCACATTTCAAAAAGTACTCTTCATCATTTTTTAATGGGTTTATATTTCTTCATTTAGCAAATGTTTATGAGTGATTCTGTTAGAGAATATTGTTATATTTTCACTATTGGTGATACAAGATGATCAAGTTAGAGGCCTATTTTCATGACCTCTTGAAAGTTACAGTCAAGTGGGGAACAGAGATAGAGTCACTAACAATAAAATGTGATAAACGTATTAGTTACAGCAGGTGCCATGAAAACTATAGATGGGACATCCAGCGCTCTTGGTTTCAGGGCAGGGTCCTAGGTGATTTGGGGAAGACTTTCTAAAGAATGTTAAGTTTATGCCGGGCACGGTGGCTCACGTCTGTAATCCCAGCACTTTGGGAGGCCGAGGCAGGTGAATTACAAGGTCAGGAGTTCAAGACCAGCCTGGCCAAGGTGGTTAAACCCCGTCTCTACTAAAAATACAAAAATTAGCAGGGTGCAGTGGCACATACCTGTAATCCCAGCTATTCGGGAGGCTGAGGCAGGAGAATTGCTTGAACCCAGGAGGCAGAGGTTGCAGTGAACCGAGATGGCACCATTGCACTCCAGCCTGAGTGACAGAGTGAGACTCCATCTCAAGAAAAAAAAAAAGAATATTAAGTTTATGTCAAGACTTTAAGACTGGGCTGTGTGTTCCATGTTGAAGGAACCATGTCTTCAGAGGCTCAGAGGAAGAAGAATATGGCACATTCTAGAATCTTGGTGAAGGTTAGGATGGCTATAATGTTGAGTAAGGGTTAGGGGAGCTACAGGAAATGAAAACTGGAGAAGAAAGCAAGAGTAAGGGCCTTGTAGCATCTTATAAGTCACATTAAAGAGTTTGGATTCTATACTAAACATTGGAGACTACTTAAGCTTTTAAGAAATCTAGAAAATGAAGGGAGCAAAACTGTAGACAATTATTGCAGTAAGAAGTGATAGAAGGCCAGGCATGGTTGTTTACACCGAGAATTGCAGCACTTTGGGAGGCTGAGCCAGGAATATCACTTGACCCCAGGAGTTTGAGACCAGCCTGGGCAACATGGGAGACCCCATCTCTACAAAAAAGAAAAAATTCGCTGGATGTGGTGGCACATGCCTTTGGTCCTAGCTATTCAGGAGCCTGAGATGGGAAGATTGCCTGAGCCCAGGAAATAGGGGCTTTAGTGGGCCATGATACCACCATTGCACTCAGCCTGGGCAACAAAGCGAGTGAGACCCTGTCTCAAAAAA